CAAACCCCTTCTCTCGCCTCACTCAGTGGCCTGTGTGTTGGATTCAGTCACAGAGATCCCCTTGTGACAGTCACTTGTTGTGCTGAAATACCACTGAGCCAACTTTCCTGCCTTACTGGGTGCCCTCTTTACCCTAGTTTGCGAAGCCAGGCCCTCTGGCCTCCTCCAGCACTGATCACAGCCCTCAGCAGAGTAATACCAACACTGAGATCAGCTCAGCTCTGGGAAGACTCAGCTAAAGGGACTTGCCTCAGCACCCAGGTGCACAGCCCCAGTGGGACCAGAACCCCAGATAAATCCATCTTACTCCGTATAAAGTAACATACAGAGCAAGCTCATTTTGCCTGCCTCTTTCTTATGTAGAGAGAGATGCACAGCTGCTTCCCCCATGGGAACAATTGTTCATGCCGCGTCTATTAATAAACAAAAGGGATTTTATGAAGTGTTAAAGGTAGGATGTAAGTGGTTATAAGTAACAGCACACAGAGCAAAGTAAGTCACTAAGTAAAATAAAACAAAATGCACCAACTAAGCCTAATACACTAAGAAACTTGTTACTTTACCCTAACAGTAGTTCTAGTCATCTTTTTTCACAATCTGGAACAGTCTAGGCTTGATCCTTTCCCCTGTTCAGTTTTAGATGTTTCCAGCAGTCATCTCGGGTAGTAAGCAGGGGTGTCCTGACATCTGTCAATAGCTGCCTCTATTGTTTGGTTTCCCACCTTTGTACAGATTTTGCCTAAGGTGGGAATCCTTTGTGTTCAGTTTAAACTTTTTTTCATTTTCAATGGAGAAGTACAAAGACCAAGATGGGTCCCAGCATCAGAGGACCTAAACATATGTCTTTGTGTAGACTCTCAGCCTCTCCTGCAGATAGGCTCATAGGAAAAACAACCCCATTTACAGATTTTTGTCCTTATGCTTGAGCCATGAAGTTTCCAAAATACCTTTAATGGCCCCCTTAGCATGTCTATATTAGTAAAACAGGGTTATACTTCACATTTCTAACTTCAGATACAGGAATGATACACATACACAAATGGAATACACACATTCAGCATATTGCAGCTTTGCAAATGATCTCTTAGACTAGTGTTTCTCAGCTTTTTTTAATAAAGAATTTTAATCCTGCCCCCGCTGTCATTCTGAAGTTCTGAGCAGACACAAGGAGCAGCAGAGCAACAACCAGGAAAGCCCTTGGATTTGTAACAATAAAAATACCACAAATGTCCAGGCACCTCTGGCCAGCAGGAAAGACTATGTAAAGTGTGGAAAGTGCCCAGCCTGGCTCAAACACTAAGGCTGTATCTACATAGGCATGATCTTGCGCAAATACTCTTTAATGTAAGCGTTCTTGCGTTTAAGTATTTGCGCAAGAGAGTGTCTACACTGGCATGTGCCTTTGCGCAAGAAATGCACTTTTGCGCAAGAGCATCCGTGCCAGTGTAGACGCTCTCTTGCGCAAGAAAGCTCCGATGGCCATTTTAGCTGTCGGGCTTTCTTGCACTAGAAATTCATGTTGCCTGTCTACACTGGCCTCTTGCGCAAGAACAGTCGTGCAAGAGGGTTTATTCCTGAGTGAGAGCATCATAGTTCTTGCGCAAGAAGCACTGATTTCATACATTAGAACGTCAGTGTTCTTGCGCAAGAACTCCCCGCCAGTGTAGACAGGCAGCATGTTTTTGCGCAAAAGCGGCCGCTTTGGCGCAAGATCGTGCCACTGTAGACACAGCCTGAGACAGGGATGATCACTCCCTGTTTCTCACTTTGGCCCAGTCCTATGGGGGCCCTACTGCCACACAAAGTCCCACTGGGAACAAGGATCTGTACCTGCTTGACCCCCTTATAGATTGTGACCTTAGTCCTCCACTTTTAGCAGCAAAACAACAGCTCCTGTAGGGCTGGGCTCTCACACCCTCCTCCCTGTGAAGGGAAGCAGATTCCTGTCTACTCCATTCTTAGTCTCAGGGGGGCTGGAACACTTTTTATAGTGGGAGTGGTGAGAGACATTGAACCACACTGTAAATCCTGTATGTAACAAATCAACTTCAATCCAGGGGGTGCTACAGCATCCCCAAAACCTGTAGTTCCAGCATCTATGGTAGGTCTGTCTATGAAAACCCAGAAGGAAGGAACTCAGCACATGTTCCCCAGCTCTCAGCCAGGGTTCCCATGGAAACCAGGCCTAGGACAGGCTTGGAGAACACAAGCCACCACCAGGATGGAACCCAATTGCACCTGGTCCTTCCAAGGAACGTGTATGGATGGGAGAAAGACACACATAACTTTCCACTGTAAAAAAAAATGTTCCTAGTGAAAAAAGAAATTTGGAATAAGCCCCTGGAGGCCTGTATTATCTTTATCTATCCTGTGCCCACTTTAGCTCTCACTGCCACCACCTTGCACTTCACAGGTGGATGCAGCCAGCCACTGAAGAGATCCCAGCTGCATGTTATTGGAATACAGCCTGCAACTGATAAATTGTCCAAAGAGTCCAACCAGCCAATCAGATTGTGACTTTTCACCTTTCTAGCCATATTAAAACAAAACCTTAAGCCTCACGGCTGTGGGTTACTTGCTCTCCTCAGGCTGTTTAGTGGAAATTTGAGCTTTCATTATGGAAAAACAGTAAGTTTCCAGCCTTTGTGGTTGAAGAGAAAAGCCTACAAACATAAGCCAAGTATATCCTAAAGGTTCAGAATGCAAACACCCCTTTCCTCACAGATGTATTATTTTTAAAGCACCTTTATGATATTTGAACACTTGAGGTTGATTGTAGCAGGGCACTATGTAATTGTTGAAGGCTCTGAGTGCCATGTGAGCAGGGAGACTGAGTGGCTGGAAAGCTAGAAATGTCTTTGATGTGGAGGCCAATCGTAGAGCCCCTGCTGTTTTACAAAATACACTAATTGGCCTCAGTTTTTTAAGTTGTATGGCTGGCCGACCTGAGGGAATTGATGGTAGACTGGCCGATAGAGTCACGAATTCTGGTTGGGCAAATTGCGGGAGGTTTCATCACATGACATAAGCTTTAATTAAAGCTTAATCTTTATTCCTGGAGGATTGTCAACCTTATTGGCTGAGTAAGCTACCAGGCCTACACCATCCCAGACTTATCCTATTCCCCCTAGGCAGCAGGCTCCCTGGGCAGGAATCTTGTCACAGGCCAGTTCCTTAAGTCAAATCCACAGGAAAACCTTGGAATTACAATACATATGCAAATTCAATTCAATTAATTATGGACTTAATCAAGATATGGGGTGGTGGAACCTTTATCAATGAAGGTGCTAACTACTTTCTGAATCAAAAAACAGGACTGTGTAGCACTTTAAAGACTAACAAGATGGTTTAATAGGTGATGAGCTTTTGTGGGCCAGACCCACTTCCTCAGATCAAATAGTGGAAGAAAATTGTCACAACCATATATACCAAAGGATACAATTAAAAAAATGAACAAATATGAAAAGGACAAATCACATTGCAGAACAGAAGCAGGATGGAGGAGGGGAAAGGGGGGGGAGGTAAAGGTCTGTGAGCTAATGATATTAGTGGTGGTAATTGGGGAAGCTATCTTTGTAATGGGTAAGATAATTAGTGCCTTTATTCAAATTTGAGTGTAAAGTGTCGAATTTAAGCATGAATGACAGTTCAGAGGATTCTCTTTGAAGTGAAGTCTTAAAAGGTCTTTGAAGCAGGATGCAGGTAATCAAGTCGTTGAGACAATGTCCTTTCTGGTTGAAATGGCAAGAAACTGTTTTTTCTTTGTGATCCTGTCTGATATCTGTTTTGTGGGCATTGATCCTTCCAGAAATATAATTTATGCAATCGTGCTGAAAGTGTCTGTCCGCTATGTACATTGGACAAACATCTCAGACACTTCGCCAAAGGAT